CAAGAGCTAAAATTCTAGGTCATTGAAATAGCAAGTAATAATTCCCTTTTAGTATGACATCTTGAAACTTGTCAGTATGCACATTTAGTCAAGGATGCTTTTGCCTATGAAGAAAGCATTCAACTTTAAAATGTACTTGGCCATGATTTTGACATTGGGAATCCTAGCAATGCAACTCTGTTGCACACCTAAGTGAACAGAAAGAGAAGGAGGATCATGCATAGCCAAAAATAACACATATAATTTGTAAATATTAGGTAAAATTTTTATAAAATATTTCCTGAGAAACACCTGTTCAGATTATCTCTAGCTGCATGAAAGGATCAAAATGTAAATCTTAGTTTTTACGTCTGCAATCTAGAAGTTGATGTCTTTTGCAACAAGACTTGACTGTGTATTAACATTAAATATATAAAGGGAGGAAGAAGTGACAAAGGAAAGGGCAATTGCTTTGGTTACTTCATGTTTCGATATAGTCTTAAAGCTGAGGTGTATCAGCAGTCCTAATAAGCTAGTGAACCTACACATAGTTTTCCCTATAACTTATACTTTGTGACTCTTATTATAAGGAGGCTGGACAGATTTCAGAAATCATGTAGTGCAACTTGTGGCCATAGGCAAATTCATATCCAAATCATCCCAGATGGGAGGGGTGCTGTTTATTTCTAAGAACCTGGAGTTCCCCCAAGCTCCCTAGTAATCCGTTCATATGTGTCATAGCAGGAACCCTTGACGTTTGAAGATTTTTGTCTCTGTGGAGTTCAGAGACGTTCTCAACATCTATAAAACATGATGGAGCTTTCCCCTCTTTGTCAGTGTTGCTCAGTGCGGGAGGCTCTCCCCGGCATTACAGTGCGGACATCGTCATGTGACTGGGCAGCTACTTCAGGCATGACAGTGGGCTGGTGGCATTTAAGAGCCAGTTAGAAAATTGACAGTCCCATGCCAAAGGAAACTATCCTCCAAAGATAGGAGCTAAGGATGCAACCCAATTAGTCTTCACTTCTCTAATTTCCTTGATTCCATATCTCCTTTTACCCTCTGTGCTATACCTACTAAGTTTCCTGACACCTAGACTAGACGAGAAGGCTGAATACAGATGCAATGCAATTTAAAGGAGAGCTGTGTTATGCTAAGATATGTGGCCAACAAGGAACCTAAACATCGAGGAAGCCCCTGAGGCATAAGCAGTGGCTGGTCCAGATAACAGTGCTACTGTGGATTTCAAAGCAAATGAAGACAGAGACAAGCGAATGTCAGCTCACAGTTAGGAAACTTCATCGGAGAGGGCAGCTTTCCTGAGGACTGGGGCACGGCAGCAACAGCAATTTAGATTATGCTCTCTGACTGGATGAGCAGATTCCGATGGGCATTCGTTTGACTAGAATTCCTGGCCATGGGGACCCGAGTGGGTTTTACAGTCCCTGGAAAGGATGGCAGAGCTCTGCAAATCTCTGCAAACTAGTGCTGTGAGAGAGGCCGAGCCACAAAGGGCAGGTCATCATGAGGCAACAGGGTTTTCTTTTCAAAGCTTATTTTTTCATGTCGAGATGCAGTTCATGCTGAGCCCTTCTTTGGACTTGCTCTGTCAAGCAATTAGGCAGAGGGGTGGAGAGGGCAAACCCTGAAGCCTCGCTGCCTGGACCGATGCCTCTGTAACTACTGAAGAGCTGCTGGAACATGGACAACATACTGAACCCACTGAAGCCTCAGTTTTACCACCTGCAGAATGGGTGTAATGATAGAATATAAAATATGAACAATGCCTGCCACAGAGAAAGTCTTTAAATAATGTGTGGATTAGCTGAAGTAAGTATGAAGTGTTTGGTATAGTGTCTGTCACAGAGTTAATAAGTAGGCACAAAAAACAATAGAAAAAGTAAAAAAAGTCCAGATGCCAAGGTTACAGAAAAAATAGAAATGTAATGGTTTGCCCTGAGCAAGACACCTGGGATCTTTAACCAAGGGAAAGGAAGAAGCACACAATGCACACAATGGTAGTAAATTAGGGGAAATATTGGAGTATGGAGAAATGATCCTCATTGTTTCTTTTTATTTGTGTTTATTGTGTGGTGGTGGGGTGGTTACCAGTTTTATTTGAATGTTTTATAGGCTGTTAGATTTATTTACTGAGAATGAACAGGCAAATAGGAATGCCCCCAGCTCTCCCATGAACTTTCAGACAAGGTTAATCAACAAGGGGGGCTCACAGGGGAGGTTGGGGGGGAGAGCAGGGTCTGCTGGATGATTCATCTTAGTGGGGGAACAGGGATGAAGCGCCTCTGTGTTAGCAGTTCCGGGGCAGGGGTAAGGCGTTGGAGGGAGACTCGGGATATCTGGAGGAAGATGTCCTGACAGGCTTGTGTCGGAGGAGTGTGGTCGCTTTAACATGCATGGTTTGATGGAAATGGGAATCCCTTCTAATCTTTTCCAATCCTGGACATTCGAGGTTGTGCTTTTAACATTCTGTTTCTCAAAGGCCCCTTCTTATTGCAAGGTGCCTTTAATCCTAAACCCAAGGAGCTCCAGAAACACTTTTCTTCAACCTGTTCTCATGATGGTCCCTTCTCGTTCACTACTCATAGGTGTCATGTCACCTCCTCAGGGAAACCTCCAGGGACCCTTCTACCTGAAGTGGTCCCCATCGGCCACCCCTTCACACTGCCTTGCTTTACCATCTATGTAATGGTGTAGCCTAGTGGCTAAGGGCACAGGGTGTGGAGCCAGAATCCCTGAGTTCAAACCCTGGCTCTGTCTCTTCAACCTCTGACACTGGATATGCCATTGACCTCTGTAGCCTTAGTTTCATCTGTAAAGTGGAAGCGACGATTGTAGGATTGTGGGGAGGGCTGACACAGGTACACTGTGCCATGCCCTGCATATTGTAGTGAGCATAAATGTTAGCTATTGTCATTCTAGCCACCGTTACCCTCTGGGATCACCTTCTTTATTTATTCACTTGGTATTGTCTGTCTCTCTGGTTAGAACTCAGTGCCATGAAAGCAGGAACTTTTTATTGTTTAGTTCTGGGTTTCCAGGATCTAGAAGAGGCTCCACAGTAGGAGCTAAATAAATATTTGTTGAACGAATGAATGAAAGTTATACTGTACTAATATTTAAAAAATGAGCTTGCCCAATTTCAGGTCATGTTGCAAAACAGCTTTCCTGAGGTGTCCCTATGGCAAAACAAATGGAACCCAAGACACTACATTCTGCCTAGAGTGAAACTCAAACTATTTACCTATATCATTTTTTTTTAACCCAGACATCCCACTTTTGGGCAGATCCAGAGTTTTACTGAGCTTTTATGCCTCTAGTTTGTCATGTGAAAGTCATACATTTTTTGTTTTTCAGAATATTAAATTATCTAATGATATTGCATTATGTAATACTGCTTTTTCAAATTGTACCTCACCTGCCACACCTTCTTCACTCCTGGGATATGTCCTTTACAAACCAGGAAAAACCACTAAATGGAGGAACAAATGCTGACAGATAGAAAAGTAATCCTCAAAAGCAAGCCCTGCAGCTGAGGACTGTCAGTCGAATGAGAATAATAAACATAATGAAGGCAGTGGTTGTACTGATGTCTATTAGGGCACGGGTTGCCCCTCCGGTCATTATAGAATCCTGTCTTGTTCCATTTGCCTCCTGAATGCTCAAATGCAAAAAGAATGCACCTTTCCTGCATTCGGGTGACAATAATCATTAAACCCCTGGCTTACCTGTAGAAATCCAGACTTCCTGATGTCACACGGTAACAACTAATAAATGTATTGTGTTCAGGGAGGTAGGAAAACACCAGGTGTTCCCGAGGGTAGAGTCTGTTTTTTTTCCTTCAACATATCCCTTCGTAACAGGCGTCTGCCGGCCCGAGCCACGTGGGAGGAGCGCCCATGTCCTCTGCTCTGCTTCTGACGCTGTTCGAGGTTCAGACTGGGACAGCTCAGCTCAAGGCGGTGCATGGAAGGGCCTGATCCCCCACCTCCCTTCCTTTTTCTCTGAAGAATTCATGTCAAATAAAGTGCCTGACTCCGACTTTTATGCAGCTGTTAGTCTTCTGATGACTTATAAAAGTTTTTAAGACCTGGTGATAATGATGGTTACCATGTCTGACTGTGGTCACCCTACAGAGCTTTGCGGTTAGAGCCCCAAACTCTGAACCTGGGAAAGGTCACCCGGCCACACCTACAGTACAAATATTTCTGTTTGTCCTCCCACCTATAATAAATATCGTTTGACACATTGGTGTGTTGAAAACTGATATGATTCATGTTGCTAAAGGCATTTTGTAAATTTCATAGGTCTTAATTTATGTTGCTATAGTAACCAAAAATGTTGGAAGTTCCTGAGATTAGAAGCCTTTTATATCTTTAACCTTAAAATCATATAAAAATGTAGATGATGACACCAGACCTGGTCTTTGTTGTTGGGGAACATGCACCCGGTATATTGAGTATTCTGTGTCTGCGAAGGTATGACTGTTCAATAGTCATATCAAAATGAAGATTTCTGATGTCCAACCTGGTTTTTTCACATCTTATTTACACTTTTTTTACAACTTATTTACATGTATGAATTTCAGTGACCAATATACTATTAAAATGGACAGTCTTTCTCTAAAGAGAAAGGGGGACTCTGAAGGGTTAAGTGGGAGAAGCGGAATTCTTATAAGCAGCAACCCTAGAACACTCATTTTAAGGACTGATATGAATTTGGTTCACCTTCTCCGACCAAGTGGATTTCTGGCATGTGCTGAAGCCCTCGGTGCGTTAGTAACAGGAGCTTTAAGAAGGACACTGTACTGAGGCATTTGGTGTCCAGCAGTGTCTGAAATGAGACGAAGGTGCAGTGAAGCCCCTCCCCTGAGACAGGAACACCCCGCGCTGCTCAAGCTCACGTTGTTGATTGTATGGCCTGAAAGTGGCTGGGAAACTCAATGCAAATGATCCAGCACTGACCTAAGACAGAACTATTTCCCCTCCCGGAGTCCAGCTTACCTTATATCCTGATGATTTGATGTGCACACCGCGTTTGGTCAGCGTAGACTTCATCCGGATGAAGAAGGAACGCTCAAGGGTGTTGTCAGTGGTTAGCAGGCTGGGGCTGGTTGACTCCACTGAAGAACACAAACACACATACACATGATTTAGATCTCTGCACAGCCCCTCCCAGTGACTGCTCAGGTGCAATCCTTGAGTTAACTAAAAATAAATGACGGATGGGTGCTAAGAGCCAAGTAATCAATTTGCCTCATTTAGGAAATGTTTACTTTGCAGAAAATAAAAAGGAAAAATTAAAGTATCCACAGTAACTCCGTTCCAGTTTCTAGCAAGAGCTTTTCAGGCATTTTAACTTCCAGCAGCTCCCTAAATGGTGCCTGAGAGTAAGTAATGATAGCACATGTCAAACTTTGGCCAGTGCACATGGGGAGAACTGTGGAAAAGAGAGACCTCCAGGTTTATGAGATTCACCTAGACTTGGGTGGTGTCACTTCTGAGGAAGGATAAGGGGCTTGCTCTTTGTTCTCCCTGAGAACCTGTCTTGTATCATTTGCCCACGAAGGTTTCTGAGAGCCACGGAACCCTCAAGGTCATTACTCTTGCCTTCTTGGGTTGGTTTTCTTCATTGTGGGCACTAAGAAGCATGAAGACTTCTCAACTGACACAGATAGAGGCCAAGAGTGGGACACAGACAGAAACAAACAGAAGCTCCTGACTACACCAACATACCCTTCCTGTCACTAAGGGCAACTTGTCCCCTGCCCTTGTCTGAACAGGACAACAGTCTCTGTTTTCACTTCTTTGCTATGAGAAAATAATAGTCTTCTGTCCTAAGCAAGATACTCTCTCCCTTTGTATGTTTTTAGACTAAGTAGAATACATTTTTTACTTACAAAACTTAAAAATGGTAGTTTTCAGTCTTGCTGATCTAAAAAATGTCTTTATCCAAAAATCTAGAAGGCAAGATAAATCTAATTTCTTTAAAATCAAGCTTCTAAGGTATTATATAAATTTTTTCCTGCAAAAAATTAATTTTGGGCTTTTTAATCCTAATAAGTGCTCTATTTTTATTCTACTAAATAATACTAGTAGAGTCTTTCTTACTCTACAACAACAACAACAAAATAGTTTCAATGACAAACAGGGTCTCTTCTGAGCAGCCCTTAGTCTGGTATTCTCAGAAGAGCAGTGATTTACCCCTAGGGTGGGGGTAAAGGTTTAGGAATGAAATACATGGTATATGAAAATACTTGTGGAAACAGAAAAGAGTCAAGCAAATGTTTAAGTTATAAATTATGAAATATAGTCCAAATATTTCTATGGAAAAGAAATCTCTGGGTTTTTTTGCAGGGATTTGCAAAAAACATTTGCAACTAGATGCTCACACAGAAGAAGAGTGAGAGCTACTATATAATAAGAGGAACTTGCTATTTGTGGTCTGGGGCCTTTCTAGTACCATTCCTGTCGTAATGTGACTGTATTTTCCTATATTTATGGCACTGCTATTCTGGGTTGATGGAACCACTGACAAGTGTCCTTTTCTTATGTGTCTCTCTTAAGATTTTTTTTTTTAGAGAGAATGGATCTGATGTCATTTTAAATGTACAGCTTTTTATCACTCGAGGGAAAAGCAGAGCCATGTTATATTTAGTACTTTCATTTCTTCTGATTAAATATGAATTACTATGAAATTTTTCTCATCATCTAACACGCCATAATACGCCAACAGCTTTTTAATACACTATATAAGCACAAACTTCTGCTCTAAGAGTTTAATTTGCCCCTCTAATCCAATCACATCAACCTTATTTCTCTTATCAGAGATTCCCATTTTGAATTAAATGAGCTCATTAGTTTTAATCAAAAGCAGAGAGATCAAAACTTAAACGTAAATGCTTTAGATCAAAACTGTCAGTCAGCCGTGCAGTTCTATTTTACTAAAACACAAGATCAGAGACCCTTAGAACCAATTTTTTCTCATAAGGGATGCTGGGAGCTTGAAGATGCTATACCCGTTTTTTCCCCCTTCCCAAGGACAGATTATACATTTAAGGTTAGACTTAATTTATAGCAGTTTTTCATCCTGGTGGAAATGGAAAAGTATGCCAGGCCACTGTTGTCCCTCTACATTTATTGGCACTGGTCCTCAGAGACTTGAACTAACGTGCCGCCATCAGAATCCACGCCACACACTCAGCCTTAAAAATTCCGCTCTGTTCAGCAAGATCATGTTTGCAATAGCCGAGAACAAATGAAACTTCCCCAAGAAGTGAAATATGGTTTAGGCGTAGGGTACTGGATATCCTGCTCCAGTAAGAAAGGAACCACCTACCTTTGGAAGAGTGAGTAATTTAGGCATCGTTAGAAGTGACTATTGTGTTCAGTGTGTGGAACTGCACAGTAAAACACCGAGTGAGCACAGCAGAGACCGCAGTGTGGGCGCTTCCCGCTGAACGACGAAACAAACGCGAGATGCCAGCTTTGCACGCGCTGTGGAGGCGGAGAGTTGAGTGTACCCTGACTGAGGCCGTGAATACAGCGCCCCCTGCCCTGCCCAAGTGTTACAACAATACTTGTCTAAACATACAGGGCAGTGTTAATTAAATCCTGGGTGACTGGTGTGAGAGGAACCCGAAGGTCAAGTTCTGCCCCACTGAAGGTGAAATTTAAAAACTCAACTGGTCCTCAAACTTGATTTCAAGAGTGTGGGGTGTAGAGGGGTTGAGGAGAAGGAGAGGGGGCGACTTAGAAGGAAGTTTGATTTCTGTTGAAGATTTCTGTTTTAATTCCACATGACTTTCTAGTTCTGAGGAAGGGGCAGAAGTTATGTGCCACACTGTCCCTATCAAAGAAACACGGAGCAAACTCTTGCAGGCACACACACTCCACCGCCATGTTTCCTCAAGGGCTAGCAGGTACACGCAGGTTACCGCAGCTCTGACGATGGTGACTCTCGGGTACAAAGGTGTATTATCTGCATGTGACAAAGGCAAGCAGCTGCTTTAGAGGTGAAGCTTTCTAAGTGTCTTCGGTGAGGAGCACAATTTTCAGAAAGGTTCCACTGGGAGAGGGAGCCAAAGCAGCATGGCCCTGATGATGGGCAACAGGACTGGGCGCATGCCTGTGTGTGCGTGTGTGTGTGTGTGAAGAGAGGATGGAGTAATGAGGAAAGTATCCGTGGGGCTGCTGCTGTATGAAGACAGTCTATGTCGAAGAGGCATTTTAGGGAACTTTCTAGATATCAGAGGCTTTTCTGCCAACTTTTTTGAAGCAGAACACACTTTCTGCCTGCTCTGATAAAACATTGTGGATTCAGAGAGGTTATATATGCCGTCTGAGACATAGGAGAAATTTATGGGTAAAAACGGATTAAGTGGTCAAAGCTCAGATGTGGCCAGTTTTGACCTATGGATTATAAACAAGGAGCTGAAAAACAAAAACAAAAATAAGACCCATACAAAGCAAAGCTAGATAAAGAAACAGACTCTCTTTGGCTGAATGTCAAGGGCCTCAATTTTTTAATAAATCTAAATTATCTCAGCTAGTGAAATGTCAGTTTTTGCATATTTTGTAAAATTTGCAGAACAATTTACAGCAAAAGTTGTAATAATTTTTATGTTAGCAAGTGTTATTCCACATCTGTTTATGGTTCCCTAACTGGTTTTGGAGTGGCTGCTTCCTTATTGTTATGTAGGGGCAGGAGGTGGGGTGGGTGAAAACTGGGGAAGAAGGGGCTGGCTGGGGACCATCCAGGTCTCCCTGGCCAGTCCAAGGCCAGGTCTACTGTCGACACTTTTAGTTTCCTCTGCAGAGTCTGTGCAAGTGTATGAGATCGCAGCATAAAGAGGGCTTTTCTTTTTAGTTCACTCAGAGTGTTTTTAGCAGAATTCTAGACTCAGAACCCCCCAGCTGCCTCCATACACTGATGTATAAGAGACCAAAAATTTTTTAAAACTTAAAAAAAAATCCTCACCCAAACATGTTTATTCATTTTAGAAATGGGGGGAGGGGAGACATCAGTGTGGGAGAAAAACATCAATCTGTTGCCTCCCACACACACTCTTGCCAGGGACTGAACCCTCAACCTAGACATGTGCCCTGGACAGGGATTGTATGGAATGATCCTCCAACCATGGAGCTACCTAGCCAGGGCAAAAAAAGTCAAGTTTTGAGCAAATGTTTTTACTCTTCAATTGTGAACAAAGTATTTTTCCTTTCATTTATTTGTTTAAAGTATATTTTATTGCTTATGCTATTACAGTTGTCTCATTTTTTCTCCCTTTTATCACCCTCTGCCCTGTACCCCCGCTCCCTCCAGCATCTCTCCCCTTAGTTCAAGTCCATGGGTTGTACATATAAGTTCTTTCTCCATTTCCTACACTATTCTTAACCTCCCCCTGTGTATTTTGTACCTACCATTTATGCTTCTTACTCCCTGTACTTTTTCCCCCATTCTCCTACCTCCTTCTCCCCACTGGTTCTCTTCCTACTCTAGTTGTTTGTCTAGTTTTTTAAAAAGATTCAGTTGATAACTGTGAGTTTATTGTCATTTCACTGCTCATATTTTTTATCTTCTTTTTCTTAGATAAGTTCTTTTAACATTTCATATAATAAGGGCTTGGTGATGATGAACTCCTTTAAATTGACCTTATCTGGGAAGCATTTTATCTGCCCTTCCATTCTAAATGAAAGCTTTGCTGGATAGAGTAATTTTGGATGTAGACCCTTACCTTTCATGACTTGTAATATGTCTTTCCAGCCCCTTTTTGCCTGTAAGTTTTCTTTTGAGAAATCAGCTGAAAGTCCTATGGGTGTTCCTTTGCAGCTAACTATCTCCTTTTCTCTTGCTGCTTTTAAGATTCTCTCCTTATCTTTAATCTTGGCTAATGTAATTATGATGTGCCTTTGTGTGTGCTTCTTTGAGTCCAACTTTTTTGCAACTCTGTGAGATTCCCAGACTTCCTGGAAGCCTATTTCCTTTGCCAGATTGGGGAAGTTCTCCTTCATTATGTTTTCAATTTTTTGATCTTCTTCTTTCCTTCTGGCACCCCAATGATTCAGATGTTGGAACTTTTAAAGTGATCCCAGAGATTCCTAAGCCTCTCCTCATTTTTTT